TTATGCATGCATACATGCATACATACATACATACATACATACATACATACATACATACATACATACATACATACATACATACATACATACATACATACATACATACATACATACATACATACATACATACACATACATACATACATACATACATACATACATACATACATACATACATACATACATACATACATACATACATACATACATACATACATACATACATACATACATACATACATACATACATACATACATACATACATACATGCACTCATACATACATAAATACAACAAAATATACGCATTTTAATATATCCATATATACAAACGTATATAAATACATGCCTGCAAGCACACATACATGCATGCATGCATGCATACATACATGCATGTGATACAGACATACAAAACAGAAAAAAAAATGATCTAAGAACATTAAAAGCTAGAAGAAAGTTCATTTTTGCCACTCAGAATGTACGTAAATTACAGATAGGAGCAAACGAACGATCAAACGAACGAACCAACCTACAAACAAATGTATGAATGAATGATTAAATGAATGAACGAACGAATAAAAGAAAGAAAGAATGAATGAAAAAAAACAAATGAAATGCATGGATGGACATTGAATAATGCACATAAGAAGAGTGCCAAGCAATTCCCTGCCAGTCTTCCAGCCAATCTCATGCTTGCCTCTATGTGATTGTATAAATCGCGGAGAGTCTTACTCTCTCCTTGTTTCTCACTTTCTCTTTCTTTCTTTCTTCCTCTCGCCTCCTCTTTCTCTCTCTTTCCATCTTTTTTCTGGGGTTTTATAATTAAAAGGATATTTATTATAATGATGAAAATTTGATTATTGCATTGACAGTTTATTTATCCGCTTAGCTATTCATTCCTTCATTCGTTCGTTTGTTCATCCATCCATTTATTCATTCATTCATTCATTCATTCATCCATCCATCCATTCATTCATTCATTCATTCATTCATTCATTCATTCATTCATTCATTCATTCATTCATTCATTCAATCATTCATTCATCATTCCTCTACTCATCCATCTTTACATCCATTCTTTTCATTCACTTACATCTGTTTCATTGTTACTTTATTATTTATATCAATCATCATCTTAAATAAATCACATTAACTAAAAACGGATGTATGTATGTATGTATGTATGTATGTATGTATGTATGTATGTATGTATGTATGTATGTATGTATGTATGTATGTATGTATGTATGTATGTATGTATGTATGTATGTATGTATGTATGTATGTATGTATGTATGTATGTATGTATGTATGTATGTATGTATGTATGTATGTATGTATGTATGTATGTATGTATGTATGTATGTATGTATGTGTGTATGTGTGTATGTATGCGAGTATAACTTATATGGCGTGCACCTAATATAGATAGAAGCGAGATGTTATATATGTTGGAAATGTTTCTTAAAGAAATTTTTAAACGAGATGACTCGGGTGGATTTCTGTTTTACGTTAAAATATTTTTTAAAAAGATTTGATTTAAACGAATTTTCAAAATATTTACATGCGAATTAAATTGAATTTTTCAAAATATATAAATGTATGAATTCGTTTTAATGTTAGTAAATTATTAAAATGAACTTATTTTAGCAATTTTTACGTAATGAGTTTGTTCGTAAAATAAGTTCCATTCACATTCGTTCGTTCGTTTGTTCGTTCATTCATTCGATCGTTCGTTCGTTCATTCGATCGTTCGTTCGTTCATTTGTTCGTTCACTCATTTACTAACAGCCATTTAAATGATAGACAGATTGAAAAAATATGGAATGGATGGATGAATGCAAGAGATTAAAAATCCAACGCTCTACTCCGACAAACAAACACAACATCAACCACAACAAACAGAACAACAAAACAAACAACAACAAATTAAACAACAACGACAACAACAATAATAACAACAATAATAATAACCACAACAATAAATGTAGCCCTATTAAAACTACGAATATAAACTCGCCTAATTTGAAATGTCAGAAAAACTGCAGCAACATCAACAACATCAACAACAGTATCACGTATAACATATTACCAGAGCAACAGCAACAACAACAGCAACAACAACATCAACAATTTTTTCTCGCACCGTCACCATTATCAGTTTCGCCAACAATGTTGTCGCCCTTCTCTCCGGCATTATTTAGCAACAACAACAACATCACACCCACCTCTAACAACAACAACAACATTGACATCAATAACAATGACGTCATTATCAACAACAACAACAACAACAATGATGACATTGTTGATGACATTAATATGACGTTTGTCTCAACACCACCATGTCAGGCTGTTGATAACATTAACGGAAATATTAACATCAACAACAACATCAACAGCAACAATAACAACAGCAACAACAACAACGCGTCTCATAAATCACAGCACCATTTAAATTCTCCGACTTTAACTATCACGCCGCCGAATTCAATTTCAAATCAATCGGAAAATCATTTGAAACACAAAACGACCGACCTGTATAATCATCAGAATCACCATCATCATCATCAACTACAACAACAACATCAGCAGCAGCAGCAGCAACTACATCATCATCAACAACAACAACAATTAAAACCAACCCAACAAACAACAACGACAACATCTTCAACAAGATCTAAAACAACAACCAATGCAGCAAAGATCTCACCTCCAACAACAATAACGTCATTATCATCATCGTCATCAACAGCCCCAGCTGCCGCTGCCACAACAGCAACAACAGCAGTCGAAGCAAAGCAGTGCGCCAGCTGCGACAAGATCATATCCGACCGCTACTTGCTGCTAGCAGCTGATAAATACTGGCACGTGACCTGTCTCAGGTGCACTTCCTGTCACGTGGTTCTGTCGGAAGTGGGCTCAACCTGTTTCAGCAAATCAGGAATGACCTTGTGTAGGTCGGATTATATAAGGTTAGCCACCTTATTAACATAATTAATTAATTAATTAATTAAGTTGTTAGCGAACTAATTAAATACCCAATAAATATTCATGACTGCGCGCACAGATTATTCGGCTCAACCGGAACATGTAGTCTCTGTCGTCAGACGATTCCGGCCAACGATTACGTCATGAAGACGTCACAGGGTAGCGTGTATCACGTGACGTGCTTCATCTGCATCACGTGCAGACGGGCCCTAATTCCCGGAGACAAATATGGCGTCTATAACGGAAGTCTTTTCTGCGAGACGGATTATTGGGTCGCCATGACAACCGGCCCCCAAGATGGCGGGGGTGGGGGCAATAACAGAAATAATAATAATAATAATAATAATAATAATAATAATAATAATAGCAACAATAATAATCAAAATAATAATAACAACAATCAGAATAATAGCCCAGTTGTTAATGGAACTGCTGCTAATAACAACAACAATAACAACAACAACAGTAGTAATAACAATAATAATCATAATCATAATAATAATAACAACAACAACAGAGTTTTTGGTAACGCTGGTAATATAAATTATAACGGTACAAACAACAACAGCAACAACAACAACAACATCATCAACAACATCATCATCAACAACAACAACAACAACGATAACGACAGTTCAAATACAAATGCGATTAATAACTCAATCGATTCGCCGAATTTTTTGTACCATCATAATCTTCAACAGCAGCAACAACAACAACAACTTCATCAGCAGCAGCAACAACAACAACACATTTTACAACAACAACAATTGTTGCATCAACAACAACAACAACAACAATTATTACATCAACAAAAGTTATACAACATGGCCGGAAGAATGAGTGTTTATGACGATAATAATGACGTCATCATTGGTGGGGGTGTCGTAAGGGAAAGCCCGCAAATATCTCTCACCCACCATCATCATCATCATCATCCTCCACATCATCACAATCATCATCAAAATCATCATCAGCCGATGAGATTGAGTCACAAAGTTGGATGATGATGATGATGATGATGGGAAGATGATGAAATCGAAGTTTTGTTGATGATTATGATTGTGATGATGGTAACGATTAGCGTTCTTGTTGATGATGATCATGAGAATGACGACGATGATGAGGATGATTAACTGCTTACAGTAATTGTGTTGTTGTTGTTGTTATTGTTATTGGTAATGTTGTTTCTGTTGTTGGCTATTTCATTTCTATTTAGTTTTTTTGATAACACATTTGAAAATCATGTAAATATTAATAGTAATGTGTTACTACTACTACTGCTACTACTACTACTACTACTACTACTACTACTACTACTACTACTACTTTTACTAGTACTACTACTACTACTACTACTACTACTACTACTACTACTACTACTACTACTACTACTACTACTACTACTACTACTACTACTACTACTACTACTACTACTACTA